GCATATCAACAATGACCGCGCCGGTCCGGTCCGCGCCGCGCAGACTATGATTGACAGCTACCTCATGTGCGAGGGCGGGTCTGTGTTGAAACGCTCCCGTCAATCAACAGTCGTGGGAGGGGCGTCCGTTTTATTGACGTCACAAAAACGAATGGCTTGATTTGAGGCAGGGGAAAACATATAAGGAGATTAAAACAAAACCACTGGATTGATTTTTATTAGGGCCGGGACTTTAACGCGTTAATTAAGATTAATTAATTACACACTTTAACGCGTTAATTAATTACACAAAAAATTATTTTTAATCGCACTTATTTTTGCACCGCGGAACGTTTCTCACTGGATGAGTTTCGGCGGACCGATTATACTGCCGCACCAACTAGCGTTCATGACGAAGAAGCCAGAGAATGTTTAATATGAGGAGAAGTCCCACTCACATTAAACTTCCGGGGTCTGAACTGGTTGCAGTTCCACTCTAGGTCCATATGAGGGCGCTCACAGGCGGAGTGCAGAATGAATGGAGGTCTATGGAGCAATACCCCTAAAAATCCACTTTTCTCAGGATATAATTTTTTGTCTAGTAATTTGAATGTTGTATTCGAAAGAAGATGCAACAAAATTACACATTACTGGGTGTTAGATTTTTTAGAGTCACTTATTTGCTTTAAAAAGTATTTTAAAATGTCAATGACGTCATACACATCGTACGACCAGAAACCTGCTTTACGGCAATCCTTCATTCACTGGTGCTTTCGCGCATAGACAGACGAGAGAAGCCGCGAAATGTAAAAATACTACTGTTATTGTGTCACGAAATGTAGTTTTAATAGTTTTTCAGTCGACAATGTAGTTGTTTAAAGCTCAAATCTGTGGTTTATTTATAAAGATAGCGCCTATTTAAAAGTTTGATCTGACGTTTTCGGAGTTGTGAGGACCAGTCTTTCACCGGGTCTCAGCGCTCTGCACCCCGCCTGGAACAGCCTTTCCTCGGCTAGTGCTTGTGACGTTCGCCGCCGGCTCTGATGTCTCTAGTAGTGGTTAAACATGAGATATAATTCGTCTTGTGTATATATCTAACGGGCGATCTTTGGTATCATTAATCGTATCATTTGTTCCCTGGCAAATCGTTTTGGTTGAGGGCAAAGTGAAGTTTCATAACTTTATATTTTGGCTATTTTAACGTTGTATCCTGCTGTGTCTGAATGGTTTACTTTATTTCTTGTCTTGTATAACTTATTATACCTTTTAGGCTACTTTTACTGTTATAATGTCTCTTACTGATCAATAAAACTGAAATTTAACAAAAATAGACAGGGTTGTGTCATTTTATTTTATATAGCCTTTTCATTACTATTTTATTTGCTGTATACTGTTTGTTTATTTTATTGACTAAACTATTTACTATTACTCACTGTATCTTATATTTACTATTTGCACTGCATATCGTATTACCATAGATAAAGGATCTATCAGTTATCTTTGTTATTGCTAAAATCGGGTCAATGCTTTTTCCACAATAAGAACACAATCGCAGCGACGTTCCAAAGCGGCCAATAGGGCGTCTATGTATTTATTATGTTTATGCTTTTGCGCTTTGCACTTTCTTTTCTCTCGAGGCATCAACTACACATCTGACACGGGTAAATATCTTTTTTACAGTCTATGGTAACGTTATATACATTTGAGAGTTCATTCCGCCTATGGCCTTAACATTGGTCCCGCTTCGGATGCCATCAAGCGGTATCTCTGGTCGTAATCAGTCCTTCACTGTCCAATCAGCGTCCATTAGCAAAATGCTAGCGTGTTATGGGCAACAACAACTCAACCTGTAAGAAATCGAAAGGACATAAGCACTCGTTCATTCAACTTTCGACCCATAACCCATGTTGAACTTGCAGAACCTACATTCAAATCTGAGATTTATCAATGACAATCGGGTAAAAGAGACAAATCTAGCCGTCTAGTCCCATTGACTCCCATTCATTTTGCACTCGGACGATCGCCCCCAGTGGAACTCTGGTGGAACTACAACCAAAATTCGGTACAATAGGACTTAATAGGGAGTGGCCAGGCTTTCCGTAGACGGGCTTTGAAGAAGCTGACGAGATCGCTTTGGTTGGCCGGTGGCTGGGAAATGTTGTTACAAAAAACGAACGGATGGACGCGTCGATAAGAGCATGGTTGTGTGCAAGCTATGCAACAAGGAATTCGCTATTGCTATTAGTGTAGTGTAGCAATATGCTATTTTGTTGCAATATGCTATTGCTACACTTAATGGCTATTATGGCTATTAGTGTAGTGCTATTAGTGTAGTGTAGCAATATGCTATTTTGTTGCAATATGCTATTGCTACACTGGTTGTGTGCAAGCTATGCAACAAGGAATTCGCTATTGCTATTAGTGTAGTGTAGCAATATGCTATTTTGTTGCAATATGCTATTGCTACACTTAATGGCTATTATGGCTATTAGTGTAGTGCTATTAGTGTAGTGTAGCAATATGCTATTTTGTTGCAATATGCTATTGCTACACTTAAAGGTGCTCTAAGCGATGTCATGTGTTTTTTAGGCCAAAACATTTTTTGTCACATACAGCAAACATCTCCTCACTATCCGCTGGCTGCCTGTCCCCTGAACACACTGTAAAGAAACGCGATCTCTGTAGACAGCCCATGCTTCACAAACAGCACCAAAAACAAACTGCAGCGACCCGCTCCCCAAAACATAACAAACTGTTCCAGCCAATGACCGACAAGAAGGGTTTGGGGGTGTGGTTTGGGGGGTTAGTGTGCGGATGAGGAGGAGGGAGGGTCTAGCTAGCCTCCGTTTTGTTTGACAATAGTTCGAACGTCAACAAGAAGTGACGTCACCCAGGATCGCTTAGAGAACCTTTAATGGCAAAAATTGCACTGGTCTGCTGGACTTGGTTGAACAAAAATAAACAATATTTTGTTGCTTAAGCTTATGTATGCAGTCATTATTCAATGGTATACTAAAAATCCATGTGAAAAAAATTACTTCTCACAGTTCTCAGGTCAAATATTTATGCGATTAAAATGCGATTAATTTCGATTAATTAATAACAATGCCTCTAATTAATTAGATTAATTTTTTTAATCAAGTCCCGGCCCTAATTTTTATCATTAGATGATGTTTGTGTACAGGCACTGCCAACACACATTTCAGTACAATCAACTTGTAAAAGTGCATGTACCATTATATGACCCCTTTAACCAATTAAATTTTTTCCAACATATAATTGTTTTTGATAAAAATATAACAAAACTCTGAAACTCTATTTTGCTACACGGTTCACTTTATTTATTATAAACTAATTTAAGTTTCACTAACCTTACAAAGTACATATTTTAAACATTGTTCTTAGTAACACAGTAACTGTTCTCTCTGCTTGTTTAATCAGACATCAATAATAATGTGTCTTTTAGTGAGCGAGCGGCGACTCCGAGCCGATTCAGTGAGATGTCAGAATGGTTCAGTCCATGATTCAGACCAATTGGCGAATTGGATAGCACATTACATTGTTTGTTGTAGTTTTTTGTGTGCCAGCTTTTCAGTCAGTGAAGAATGCAGCAACCCAGCAACAGATAATGTGTGTATGTGTATATATATATAGTGTGTGTGTGAAGCGAGTGTGGTAATGAATGTTCTCTTCTCATTAAACACAGACACAAATTCTGTATTCTATATTTACTTAAACTGCATCAAAATGTACTGGAACTCAATGCAATTAAGCAATAATTAAATAATAAAATAAATTTCCCTGCACTTTATGAACTCACAATAATATTTCTATAAGCGGCAGCTGCCATCAAAAAAGTACAATTGACTTTACTTTAGTCACTACCCTTGGGGTCAGTACGAATATATATATATACACGCGTACACACACACACACACATATATATATATATATATATATATATATATATATATATGTGTGTGTCTGTGTATATGTATATATATATATATATATATATAATTAATACTTTCATTCCTCAAGGATATATTAAATGTATCAAATGACAGTAAAGCCTTTTATAATGTTACACAATATATCTATTTCAAATAAATACTGTTCTTTTGAATTTTCTATTTATCAAAGAATCCTGAAAAATGTATCAGTTTCCACAACAATATTAGATTACAAATAGAAAACAATTCTTTTAAATTTGATTAATAAATAAATTAACATTTTAAAGAGGGTCCAATTTACTCACAAACAGGCACTACACTAGGCTACAATCAGTTCCAGGCTTTTACAGCTTAAAAATGCATACATAAACTGCACTGACATATGTATAATGTTGTCATGGCACTGCAGATTCAGCAGCAGCGGATCGGTGCAGGAAACACTGCTGTATCTCTCGTTCAGCTGAAGTGTCCATCCCTCTTCCTGCCTACTCCCGCATCATCCCCTGTTCCTGCTGCCCCTTTCGGCTCACTAGTTTCTGTCACTTGCGGTCCATCTTCTCCTCACTCTCATTTGCCCCTTTCACTCTCTCTCCATCCCCCTCAATCACTCGCTCTTCAGCGTTTTTAGGATTAGCATAGCTAATTTGAGCCGGCCAGTGTTCACTGAGTTGTGAATGTGCTAAATGTGCATTTCCATGATAAAGGCCGTGGCTCCGAGCTGCTCGTCTGTCACAGAAGTATGGCATTACCATTGTCCCGAGGGCCGCTGAGCCGCATCATTTTGTGTTTGCTTTTGAAGTCCCCAAATTCATTTTTCATCGCTTCGTACAGTACGCCGCTCCATTGCGCTAACAGAACGTTACAGTAGATTGTAATAGCCACGTTTCTATGCTGAATGGGGACCCCCAGGGCTCTGTAATGATGTATGCTAGCGATTTAGACATCAAAGCTAGTGTTTACGCTATCTTTAGTGAGGGTTGCCATGCGCGAGTGTGTGCGGTCTGCTTTTGTGTAATTTAATTCTGTGCACTAATGCTGTGTATGTGTGTGTGTGTGTTTTTTTTACAGATCGATGAGCTGTACGAGGGCTTTTGTATTCAGAGAAGGTTGCGTGATGGCGCCAGTAAGATGAAACAGGCCTTCACTGCTTCACCCTCAACTAAAGGCACACGCGAGAGCCTGGCGGAGGTCAGCCGCAGATACAAAGAATATACAGAGGTACATTATACATGTTTGCTTTTTCTCTAACTATTTAGCCATTTTTAGCATATTCGCACAGTATATTTTTTAAATCGACTAGTCTGTGGGTTGTCTGAATGACCAGTCGACTAATTGGCCCATATAATTAGGCTGGTTATCTGATCCCAATCATATGTGTCTCTGAGAGGGCATTTTTGTAAGACAAACAGGTCTCGAAGTTTTCACTTTTAGAAGTTGAACTATTTTTGACAGCTTCTTAGAAAAGCAAAACTTGTATCGAAAAAAGTCATGTAGAATAGTCATGTCAAAATGTAGTGGTGCTGCTTTAAAGGGAATACTAATTATAGACATTACCTTTCAGAAAAAATCAAAGATTCAATAGAGACATCAGTAGCAGTATTGTTATCTATGAAACTGTCCTTCATTCATAGTACTTAAAAAGATACCATTAAACAAGTATTTAAAATAAACCGCCTTTCTACATTATTTTGGAGAACAAATACAAATTTTAATGTTAGGTGCAATTAATCATGATTAATTACAGACAAATGTGTGATTAACTAGTCACTTTTTTATATATATATTTTTTTATTTAGCACTAAAAGTAATAAATATATAATTTACACTTTTTTATTTATTTAATAACAATAATGCAGATTACTTTTTAGTAAGAATAGTACAAGTAAGAATTATTTAACTTTCTCAATTCAGCTGCAATTTGTATTATTATGTGTCCCCTTCTTTTCAGAACATGTGCACTTTTGAGGGCGAGCTGGAGAACCTATTGGGGGAGTTTCATATCAAAATGAAAGGTACAGGACTTCTGCACAAAAAAAAGGAAAATCTATAATGTTTTTGTTGGATTTCAATAACAAACTTTTCAACTCCTTTGCCTCCTGTCTCAGGATTGGCTGGTTTTGCCAGGCTTTGTCCGGGCGATCAGTATGAGGTGAGTAGCTTGGAAAATAAAAAAAAACTAAATTCTTTCAGAACATACTAAGTTTCATGCCGTTTTTCTGTAATAAAGCCAGATGCATCTGTCTTCTATCAAATTACTTAACTCTTATATTAATTGCCTGCTGTTCTGCCAAGTACACCCAGTTCATTCGTAATCACAGCTCTCCTAGCAACGTTTTCTCTTCTGATCCCCACCAAACCCAAATCAATTTTTTTTAAGGCTGTATAAAACTAAATACTGAAAACGCCCTTTGCTTTATTGCTCTATTAACGAATAAGTGGACTTGTGTTGGTAGCTTTTTCCTACTTCTGCCATTTTAAATTTTTTTCTTTCTTGTTGCCTCTCTCTTTCTATTCCTGGCAGATTTTCATGAGATACGGCCGACAGCGGTGGAAACTGAAGGGGAAGATCGAAACAAACTCCAAGCAGAGTTGGGATGGAGAGGAGATGATCTTCATGCCCCTCATTACAGACCTCATCAACATCAAGGTGGGCTGCAGTCTTCCATGAAAGAGTCCCAATGTAACGACTCATTTTGACAATTTCCCCTTTCACGCAGTAAACCCAGTAAATCACCGGAATGGCTTTACCAAATATGCTGTTCTCACAAGCAATGCCATTCTGGCTTTTACCATTAAGAGACCATTCACACATTAGCACCAAAATACCGGTAAATTCTGTGATGTCAGTCATCGGAAACAATCTTTAAACGCTACGCTGTTGTCTTCATTCGCCTGCATGAGGAGCAGCTCTTTAGTTTCACTATCTGTTCAATTTGACAGCAATTTTGGACTTCTGAGTGACAGATGTAAGGGGATGATCACACAGTACGCATTTTGCAGGAAAGCTAGGTCTCGAGCGCGACACGCTGAAAAAGCTGCGAGACATGGCACTACGCACAAAGATTTCCATCTAGCACGTATTTACTTAACAAAAACTAAATAAAAGCAGCAGAGCTTAGTCAACAGCGCGGAGTAATTGTGTCATGTCCATAAGAACTTTGATTCTTATGTCAGTGCGTTTGGACCTCGTACGTGCTCATACCGGTAATGGTCTTCATTCTTGGTTCACACAGCATCATACCGGTAATTTACTGGTAATGTTACAACTTCTCATACTGGTAAATTGTCAGAAATGATTTACTGATATTTTTGAAAAGGTCCTGTTCACACTTGATCTCTTAATGGTGATTATTTACCAGTAAAGAGTAGACTATATGTGTGAAAGGGGCTATTGACAAACTGGGCTGTAACCACCATAGACATTCAAGAGAACACTTCCCCTCAATTTTTGTTTTCAAAGACAGAGTCCTAAAATTTACATTTCATCCTCTCAGTCTTGAGTATTTGGTTACATCCTTGATTGCACCAAAATGTATTCCTATGAAGAAAGTTGTGAATTAAACATTGCTGAACTGAAATTTCTCAACGCATGACCTTTTTTTCTGCTAGGTGACAGAGTTAAAGGGGTTGGCCACACACATATTAGTGGGTAGCGTGATCTGTGAAACCAAGGACCTGTTCACCGCTATGCCTCAGGTGGTAGCTGTAGATGTCAACGACCTGGGAACCATTAAACTTAACCTGGAGGTTGCCTGGTTGTAAGTGACGTTATCTAATAAAAAAAGATAAGAAGTGTGGTGTTTTAGTCAATTTAGCCACAGTAGATGTACACTGCCCTCTTCAGGACAATCATGGAAGGGCCATAATGATTTCTGTCTAACCTTTATTGGGGCTTATAAGTCATAAGTTGTCCCCCAAGTTTCTTTCATTTTAGTGTTTCCTTTCTTTTATTACTTTTGTATGATATCAGATTGTTGTACATGAACATATATCTGCCTTGTTTTTACAGTCCGTTTGACGTGGAGGATCTGACCCTGTCCTCAGGAAACGTGAGTAAAGCCACCGCCCTTCAGAGACGAGTTTCAGTGTACAGCCAAGGCACACCCGAGACGCCCACTTTCCAGGACACGTCTTTCTTTGTGAGTGCACTTCGGAAACTCTTCTCAGTTCTGTTTTAAGTCTGCTTCTATCACCATGAAAAACAAGTACACTTTAGCATACTTTAAGAAAAGAGTACTTATTATGGAAATAAAATACTTGGGTGTGAAATGAATGTGCATGTTTTTACACTTAATTGCATGTTATATACAAGTAAATAAAAATGTATTATAGTTTACATTTACATTCAATCCATTTAGCTGAACTTTTTTTTGACCCACTTAAGTAGGACTCAAGTACATCTTTATATGTAATTTCATAATTACTTATTTTGTCTTGGAAATGCAGTTAAAGTGTACTGTAAAAGTACTGACGAACATTTATGGTAAACTAAAATATACTTTAATGTAATTTCTATTTAAACTTGTATGTCATGTATTTAAATATATTACTTAATTACACATTTGTAATAATGAACTTGCAATTTAGTACATAAACCCTCGGTTTCACAGACAAGACTTTAAATGTCATATCAAGTAACACACTAAAGTTAAATTTATAATCAAGTACTTTACATGTGCTTTAGTATGTTAGTCAACACCTCAATATAAGTGTAATTTAATGTAAAGTTAAAACTTTTAATTTGACATTACAAAGTACACTTTTTAAAATGGCACATTCAATACAATTAAGTGCACTTCTTTTTCACAAGGGTGTACATATAATACAGGATACTGAGATTTTGAAAACAGTGAATGTTAGATCACACTGTCACCTTTCTCACCGTAACACCTCAGCACTAACCTAAATATTAATGCTACTAGCTGTTGTGAGTTCAGTTTTTATTATTTTGTGTGTATTATTAAATATGACAGCACTTGCAGCTTGTGTGTGAATGTTCTTGTGTAGTCTGTGCTGTTGTGTAATGAATTGTATCCTCCCTGTGGCACCGTGTGCATCGTGGCTGTTGTGTGTGTCTGTGTGCGTGTTTCTCGATGGCAAAGAAGTGGCAGCCCCGACGGTGGGAGGGTCAGCGTCTTTCGTTCTTGCACACGCTCAGAGAGACCCTCTTAGAGAAACTCAGACGCAGTCGCTCTTTTGGCGATCTGGCCGCACTGAGACCTCGCTCAAGGTCCAGTCTGGAAGTTTACGTGAGTCAGGTCACTGTGTGCCCTGCCGTTCTGAGTGAAGTCTGTGTGTCATTTTTCTTTGCTTGCATTTTCTGCTTTAACATTTTCTGCTTTAACATTTGTCACATTTCTCATACACAGGTTTCTTCACACTCACATTCACATATACACTTTTCTAGACTGGTATTACTGTTCAAAGACCCCATGAAAACGAAACTGTGGCTTTTAGTTCATGTCTGTTAGCTTTGAGGCCTATTGTATGCACAGTTCACAGAACAAACATTTAGCAGACACATTCATATTTTAAACCTTTCACTTCCAGGAAGACGGACTTAAGATATTCACAAATATTATTCCCAGGTCATTTAGAAATCTTTGTTCAATTCAAATAAAATCTGACCAAGAATCACTCACTTAAACTAAAATGGTTAATCTAACTGACATGTAAATGTATACGTTTAAGCCACAAGTCACAATGCACAAAATTTAAACACAGGTTATCGCAGTTTTCACTATTGCTTTCAGTTTTGTGTGAAGTATGTATCAGATGGTCAGTGAACAATCTGTGGGCGGTCTTCATGCAGTTTGACACTAGCCTCTGACTAGCAATAGCAAGTGGCTAATCATGGTTTGATTGGCTGTTTAATAATAAAAAAAATAGATAAATCATAGAATGTCTCACCTAACTTCTTGTTTCAGTAGGATTAGTTAACGCAGGAAAGACAATTTGCTTTTGTTCAACCTACAAAACATTTGGGAATTCCTGTGTTAAACCATTTCATAGAGGTTTTGATTTCTTTTACTGCTCTTTAGTGTGTTGGAACTTTTGGACTTGAATTATTGTTCGCATCTTTAGATCACTAAAGCAACACAAATAATAGTACTGAAAAGACTAAATGGCATAAGCAAGCCATACTTACCATATTTTCTTTCTCTTTCAATCGCACAGTCCACTTTACCAGATGACGTCTTTGAAAACGGAGGATGCGGTGTGGCCGAATGCAAGCGTCTGTCCTTCACCTTCTCTGACATGTCAACCTCAAGCCCCGCCCCCATCCAGTCAAACCCCGAGATCACCGTCACGCCCCCTGAGACGGACCCTACCTCTCAACCGGCTCCCATCCCTGAGGACAGGCCAGTTGAGGAGGAGTGCGTTGAGGAAGACTGCGGCAGTGTCAGCGCCAGCGATCCAGACCTGGAGTGGGACCAGGTTGAGGGCCAGGGGCCTGGCACAGGCTCCGCTGCCCTCTCGTTGTGCTCCGAGAGTCAGCTGTCCGCAGTGGGACCGGAGGATGTGATGTTCCTGGAGCCCAACATGCCTGATGAAGCCCTGGAGCTGAAGCCAGTGGAGCTGGACGGGGAGGAAGGCAGTCTGACCAGGCAGCTGGTGAGGAGACTCACCTCTTCTGACATGCTTCCAGAGACCGGCGCTCTGAGCTGGGCTGGAGAGGGCAGCATTACTTTCCTGGAGAGCAACCTGGAGGAGGCCATTCAGTCTCTGCTCCTGCTGCTGGAGAGCTTAGGCCAGCGCTGTGTGGAGCTGCAGGACTTGGAGCAGGAGGTCATGAGACTTGAAGACCTGCTCAAGGTGAATGAGTTCTCTTTTTGTGGTCTTCAAACTTTAGATGTTTTGGTGCAGACTCGAGTTTGATTGATCATGAAGTTTGATGTGTTTTATTAGCAAGAAAGCCATCTGAACTCAGGAAACACAGTTGGTTTGAAACGGGGTCGGGAATTAACAGAGGCTTGGAGCAAGAATGCCACCGAAATTCAAGATAAGGGGGCAAAAGATGGCCCTGTAACACTGAACTAAATTTATTACGACTAAAGTGAGATGTGAAAAGAAATGAATGAAAAGTGTTGATTGTGGAATAACATTTAGGTCTGCTCATGTTGCATCAAGGATTTCTTTTCGCACATATTTTTGCAGTGCAAAAATGCAATGACCAATCAGAGCCGTTTCGATTAGTAACCGGTGAAAGTTTTGTTCACGCTGAAACTGAATCTGCACTCTCGCGAATTCTCTCTTCAAAAATGACGAATGTAATCTAGATTCATTATGCAGTGTAGACAGCATCAGTGATTATAACAGGACTTTTTGCAAGAGTGCAGAATTCACTTAAAGGATTAGTTCACCTCAAAATGAAAATTTCCTGATAATTTACTCATCCCAATGCCATCCAAGATGTTCATGTCTTTCTTTCTTCAGTGGAAAAGAAATTAATTACGTTTTTTGAGGAAAACATTTCAGGATTTTTTTCCACACAATGGACTTCAATTGCAACCAACATTTTGAAGTCCAAATCAATGCAGTTTCAAAGGGCTTTGAAGTGCTTCTAACGGCTCTGCACAAGATGAACTGCATTGATTTGGACTTCAAAACGTTGGTTGCAATTGAAGTCCATTGTGTGGAAAAAAATCCTGAAATGTTTTCCTCAAAAAACTTAATTTCTTTTCCACTGAAGAAAGAAAGACATGAACATCATGGATGGCATTGGGGTGAGTAAATTATCAGGAAATTTTCAATTTGAGGTGAAATAATCCTTTAAGTTGAAGTCATGAACTGCTTCAGTGATGGGGTGGGATACGTTTTTTGTTTGCTTTCTGAATGTATTTCAATTCATGAAAGACAGCACAGATACATTAAATAAGGTAATTATAAAAAATAAAATAAAAAATCAATCAATTCCAGGGGGTCATTTCTGACCCTGGTTTGAAAAGGATCTTCAGGTTGTCATGCTTCATGGTTCATCTGGAAGTGAACTGTGGTAGATGACAAAATATTTTTTTCTTTCTTTTAAAACATTTTTTTTTAAGTATACATCTAAAGTAAAAACAACCGAATAGATATAATTTGCTTGATAAAAAGCTGCCATTGCATAATTTGATGTACACCGTATTTATATGAAATATACATGGTAGCTTAATATTAATAGGGATCCACCTATATTAAAAACCTGGCCTATATTGATAAGTCACTAATTATTTTCATGCTATGGCTGATATTAAATTTCTGTACTGTTTTGTCTAAATTAAAATATTTAAAATATAAAAAAGGACTAAAAATAAATAAAGAAAACAATTTTAAGTATAATTTTTTTTCCTTCATATTTTTCTTATTTACTAGATATTACATTTAACAGTGTTATTCAACTATTGGTGGTTTTAAAGATGAACTTTAAGTGAGTGTAAGATGATGGCAAAGATAATCTAAATGTAAAAATAGAGTAAAGGAGCATGAACAATTAGGTATAAAATAATGGTATAACAAAAACAGATAATAATATTGTTTATCCTTGAACATTACAATGTCTTTAATGTCATTTTTGATCCATGTATTATAATCTTGATTTAAAAAAAGTATCAGATTTTCCAGGAATAAACACCAGCGATATCTGCTCTGATGTTAAAGCATACAATGGTTCAGAAAAACTCAAACCGGACAGCAGGGAAAGCTTTCAATTAAATTCTGAACGAGCAGTCTGTGAAGGGTGTTGTTGTCTCTCCTCAGTGCCGTGTACCCGTCCATAGGAGCCGCTCATCAAGCCTCAGTTTGACTGTGGAGAGCGCTCTGGAAAGCTTCGACTTTCTTAACACTTCTGACTTCGATGACGATGACACAGGAGATGACGCGGGCACCCTCTCGCGCTCTGTCTTTATTGACATGGAGTCAGAACGAATCGGGTGAGTTGGACATCACACCATTTGGTGACCTGGTTTCTCTCAGGAACTTCAGTAGTCGTGATTATGCAGTGCCGCCTTGTGGTGACAGTATGTCTTACACGTCCGACAGGTCAGTCCAACATCCAGAAGCAAGAGGACACCTGAGTGAAGCCCTCACAGAGGACACTGGTGTAGGGAACAGTGTGGCCGGCAGCCCGTTGCCTCTCACCACGGGAAACGAGAACCTAGACGTTGCCATCGTTATTCATCTACAATACTGTAATCATCTCATTCAGGTGATTCTGCGTTTCCACCTTTACAACTTTCTTTTCCTTCTTCTCAGACTCCATACAATAGTGTGCTTTCCTTTGTCTAAACTGCTCACATACACCACAGATTAAAGCATATCAAGGTGTTTTGTTGATATAAAATGCTGTTTCTTTATGTATGGGATGTAGTTGTTGACCTCAGGAGGAAGGCAGTCGCAGCACAAGACATACCTGCACAAACTAGCAACTGAAACTCTCCTGTTGGAGGAGCTCAGTGAGAAAAACTTTGACAGACCGGGCAGCTGCACTTCAGTGTCGGATGGTGAATATATCTTTTTGTTTTTGTAAAGTGTTAATTTTTTGAATTTTGATGTTGTTTCAACAGCATTGTCCATTTTTACTTATCACTAAAAATAAAGGTGCTTTCATGACATTAATGGATCCATGAAGAGCCTTTAACATTCCTAGCATCTTTCCATTGCAAAAAAAAGGTTCTTTACAGTGGAAGAAGGTTAGATTATTAATGGGATAGCTCATCCAAAAATGAAAATTCTGTCATCATTTACTCACCCTCGTGTTGTTCCAAACTTTTATGGATTTCTTACTTCTGTTGAACACAAAAGAAGATATTTTGAAGAATGTTGGTAACCAGACAGTTGATGGACCCCATTGACTTCCATAGTATGGAAAAAATGGGAGCCATCAGCCAGTGGGGCCCATCAACTGTTTGGTTACTGACATTTATCAAAATATATTTTTTGTTCTCAACAGAAGAAAGAAATTCATACAGGTTTGGGGGTGAGGGTGAGTAAATGATGACAGAATTTTAATTTTTGGGTGAACTATCCCTTTAAGTCACCATGAAATCAACCATTAACCATTCTTATTTTTTATGGAACATTGCAGTATTTATTATAAATATATACAGTATATTTTTTAAGTAGTCTGTACTCTTTAATCTTAATCTTTAATCAAAAATAACTCCCCCCTTCTCTGAAGAAAATGTTCTTCACATTTAGAAAGAAAGTGGTTATTTTAAGAACTGTTCACTGAAAGGTTGTTATATGGCATCAATGCATCCCTCCCCCTTTGGAACTTTTATTTTTAATATGAGTATATTTACTTCAAAGCTTGTCTTTAAAGAGTTTTGGCTGTTTGAGCTAAATATTGTTGCTCTTGCAGAAGTATAACTACAAATAGCATCCTACACATTATTACAGCACTTAGTAATGGCTTTAGAAAGAAAAGAAAAAAGTTACCAGACAGAAATAAGTTATTTTACTAGCAACAGCAACATTGCATACTTCGAATGAAATGGTAGTAATAATAATAATTCAAATAAATTATAATAAAATAAATAGTAAATAATAATAATTATTTTATTTTACAGAACAACAGTATAACCTTAGGTACTAGGATATAATTTTACATCCCTGTGTTTTATTTTTTCCATGTGATGACACACATGTGTGATATTACTTCACTAAATTACAATGTGTCCTAACAAGTTTTGTGACAGATTTACTTTTACCAATAAATTATAATATAAGTGAGTTGAAAATGCCAACAAAAAAGACTGGAAATAATCATTTTTATATTATAATAACAAAGTGTGTGTGTGCGTACGTGCACTTAACTATATTTTGGGGACAAATTTGTACCCAGAAGTGACCAAAACCTGACAAAATCTCCAACAACCTCCCTTTAGGGACGTCCTCATTTGTAAATCTGATATAAAAATAAAGTAATTAAAGGTTTTTTTGAAAATGTTCAAATGTAGAAAGTTTTCTGTGATGGGTAGGTTTAGTGTAAGGGGATAGAATATACAGTTTGTACAGTGTAAAAACCATTACATCTATGGAATGTCCCCATTTAGATAGCCGTGTGTGTGTGTGTATGTATAATACAAATAATTAAAAATGTCATGGCACCTAAGAAATATTTCTGAACCGGTTTTTCAATTCAACCTCCCCTCTCTTCGTTTCGTCACCAGTGCTGCCTGGGCTGGTGGAGCGGCCGGCGCTGATGTCTCTGTGGTCTGACTGCAGTGGTGGTCTGTTCCATACTACACTGGACCAAGTGTTGAAGCACATGCATCTCAGCTTTGCCTTGCCACTGCAACAGATTCTGCCTCACTCTCCAGACTCAGGTAGTGACAATAATAATCTGCAGGAGACATCAGCAATCTGCAGAATTATTATGAACGTAACATCAGCGTTCATCTGCCTGTGTTCGCATGTGTGTCCAGTGATCAGGATGGTGGTGAATGAAATGGTGGACAGGAGCGAGCTGGCCTCTTCCTCATGTCCGTCACCGTCCTCTATGGCACAGGATGTCCTCACCGTGTTTCAGTTCCACCGCTACTCTGTTGAACACGATGTCACGGACATGGAGCGACACCTGCTGGATTTAGCCAAAGAAGGTAAGACATTTTTGTTGAATAATAATAATTTGTTGAATAGCTTAAATAGATTATTGGCATGGTGTAATCTTTCTCTTTTGTGTCCAAACCAGTCATGCTTGAAGAAGCCCTGAGCTGTGGGGACACAGAACGTTCTCTGAAGGAACTACAGGAAGCGTCCGTCATGTGTCTCCAGCCCCGGTCTCAAACCCTGTGGGCCGTGGCTGGGCTGCTGACCTCTGATGACCCTGACGTGATGAAGGCCGCTACTGCCTTCCTCTCCTCTGCTGCCTCACACAAGCCCTTCAGGTCAAAGGTCAGTCGTTTACCACATTACATGATTTTAGTCTATAGCCAGGTTTATATCGACATAATCTAACATTAGAAGGTTTAGGGTCGGTAAGATTTTTTGTAATGCTTTTGAAAAAGTTTCTTATGCTCACCAAGGCTGCATTTATATGATAAAAAAATACAGTAATAACAGTAATATTGTCAAGTATTCTTACAACTTAAAATAACTGTTGATATATTTTAAAATGTAATCTATTCCTGTGATGACAAAGCTGAATTTTCAGCATCATTACTCTAGTCTTCAGTGATCCTTCAGAAATCATTCTAATATGCTGATTTGCTGCTCAAGAAACACTTATTATTATCAATGTTGAAACCAGTTGTGCTGCTTAATATGTTTGTGGAAACTGGGATACATTTTGTTTCAGGATTCTTTGATAAATGGAAAGAACAACATTTATTCTGAAATAGAAATCTAGCATTATAAATGCCTCTACTGTCACTTTTGATTAATGCATCCTACTAGCTTAATAAAAGTATTCATTTCTTTCAAATCTAACTTTTAAACAGTAATGTATTTCAAAGCAAATTTAGAAAATTTGCATTAAAATGCTGGATAGATATACCAATATGTGAATAAAAATGTCCAAAATGTGTATAAACTATGAAGGAAACACATTTACAAAAACAACATCATAGAAATAAAAATGTAATAATAATAATAATATTTAAATGAAGAAATAAAACATACAAAATTAAATTATTAATAAATTAAATGTGCAAATTCACTAATAATTCAATAATCATGGTACTGTAGCAGCATGCAGCACAAAATGAATGTACAGCTGTTTGAGGACACTAAAGGTCAAGTAGTTAATCTTATCTATGTGTGTTTTTCAGGCCGTTGATTGTTACACACAAGCCTTATCAGAAGTTGGCTTACACACACCCAGAGCAGCATGTGCCGCTCTGAGCTGCCTGCAGGTTAGTTTCACTGAATCACACGTCACTTCAAACTGAAGCTAAAATCATGTCAGTGATTGGTTACTTCAAGCCTCTCTGTGTGTCTCGGGTTATTTTCAGGCTGTGGAGAGCATTGACGCCGTGGTGTTACTGTGTGACTCAGCGGATGAAGAGCTCCACCAGATTGCCATAGAAACCCTCCTCACTTTTGGTAAAACATCCAGTCATACACATGACACACCGGCTGCGACTACAATTAGTCAATTCAATGGTACTTCTTGTTTACGCTCTTTCTGCAAACGAGTGTACGTCTGACTGACCCATTCTAGACAGACCAAAAATACACATTTGTGTCTAATAAAATGCTGCTTTCTCAGAAAATAAATTAGGGATGTCCCGATCAGGTTTTTTTGCCCTCGAGTCCGAGTCATTTGATTTTGAGTATCTACCGATACCGAGTCCCGATCCGATACTTATATAATACATAAAAAAAGAATAAAGAAGAGAGAAAAAACAGATCCAGGATGTTCCTTATTTTTAATTTAATTCACCTTATTTTAACATTCAACAACTCTGTTAACAAACAGAGCACTTCTGTGAGGTAGCTTGAACAATCAAGTAATAAATAACATAAAATCTTCACTTTTGGACTTTAGTGCAACAGTAAATATAGAAAAAGTCTAATATAAAAACAAATAGCACCTCAACTTAAAATACCCGGCAGGCATTTAAACAAAAAATTTAAAATGTTTTAAAAGTGTATAAAAAAATAATGAGAATATATATATTAGGGGTGTAACAGTTCACAAAATTTGCGGTTCGGTTCGATACGATACAGCAAAAAGATAGAAATGCCAGAGAAATTTCCTATTTATTAAAAGAAAAACTATTTTTAAATAAGTTTGAGTTTTCCTACATCTTGAAACTTTCAGGTTTATAAATGGGGGTAATCTATGAAGGATGAACAAATAATGTTTTGGTAATATTTGGTATATATGGTATAATATTTGAGTTTTGAAGTGCAACATTAAGGGCCGTTACATAGTCAACGCGAGCAACGCGAGCAAGCAACGCGAGCGACGCGAGCTACGCGCTCCTTTTCATAGTACACAAGCGTCACCGGCGATGCGTGAAATGCAATACACCGATTGCGCAGCAGGGGGTAGTAGAGTCTAGAGTCAGGTCACGTAATATTCAGATCAAAATGGCAACTGAAGAGGAGTGCATATTGCTGATTTTACATCGGCGGCAACAAAGGATGTATACGAACAAGCTCGCATAACTTTTCCTTTTCACCGCCATTGTATTCAAATCTTCTTCTTCTGTAAACATAATAATATACCTTTTTATGTACATTACTTGCAATGTCGCCCCCACCGACAACGCATAGTATTGCGTGCATCGGCGCGTCGCGTATCAAAAACTAGGACGACACATTTGGCTACGCATCGACGCATAATGGCGGCCGAAGCGTAGCGATGTGTAGCCTTGCGCACGCGTATGCGTACCGATGCGTTGACTATGTAAGGGCCCTAAATCCATGTTCATTCACGGCACAATGTTTCTCCTGGTTTCCACGTCAGCGCTGTTTGATCTAATAGAGATCTACGGTTAATAACGGAGAAATGTGAATGATTCTCACTAGATCTCGCAGCGATGTTATTACTTCAGTGGCGAATTCAAATGTTTTCTTCACTGGATCTCTTAGCACAGTGTCGCTTGATGGATCTCGCACTGCACAGATGTTGCTGGTCCGAACTGATAATGGTCCGTTAAGCACAATATAATGAGTAGCGCAGTTTCGTTCCGCTTTCATTACGTTCGCCATTTGATGTTGCGCAACATTGTGGTGGTCGCGCCAGCGCGGATTTTGTCGGCAGGAAAAATGGTCCTAGGAATCGTTCGGTATGCGTGCCGAACCGGAAGCCTCGTACCGAAACGGTTCAATAATTACGAATACATGTACCGTTACACCCCTAATTTACATATATCCGAGTCCTGATCGGGAGGTAACGTCCGATTCCGATCGAGTCTGAAACCACGTGATCGGGCCCGATTTCCGATCGCGTGATCGGATCGGGACATCCCTAAAATAAATTCTCTACGATCAATCTTTTGGGAATATGCTAGCACCAGAGTCCCTGTGGATCCATAAACTTAAAAATGCAATGATTTAATGAAATAAATATGAGCACTGCACCTTCAAAATCAAAACCAATGTGTCTGTAGAAATGTTGTGTGCTCAAAAGTCTAGTGCAACCGCAGCTTTAATCAGAAATCAAAGACATTTCAAAATAAATATCTCTGTGTATTTATGACTTGTTTTATGATTAAAAGGGAGGAAAAGAGTAAGTTCAGTAATAATCTGTTAATTGCCTATCTTTAGTTTAAACTAAAGCATTATTATTGTATCAGAAAACTCCCATATCAGTTGACCTCTAATTCGTATATATATATATATATATATATAGTATTGATACATAAAACATGTTTTATTCAATATATACCCATGTATTAAAATTGGTTAAGTATTTTCAACTTGCAGTTCCCCTGTTTTGCTGATATAAGCAGTATTTAAGTCACTATGAAATCAAAAGGGACAATTCTTGTTTTTTCATGGAATATTGCAGTATTTATTATATTTATCAGTACATATATAATATACATAATTTTTTTTAAATTCCTGTGCCCTCATAATCTTTAATCAAAATAACTTCCCCTCACTCTTTCAGCGACATCTCTTCCAACCTGTTTATTTAAAGTAAAAGGTCTATTTGTGGTCTAAAGGTTTATTTGTGCAGGTCTAATAAGTCTTAAACTTCATTTTAAAAACTCTGCAGATACTCTGTTGCACATACATTGTCTCAACGCCTATAAAGAACAACTCCAGCCTTCCTGCGTCTTACAGAGCTTGTTTGTGTGTGTTTCTGTTCTCAGGTGAAGATGGGCGTCTGGCATACGAGCAGTTGGACACAGTACCGAGGGAGATTGTGCGGCTGGGAACTCGCCGTGGTAATGCGGTTACCACTTCATTTTAGAAAAATCAGCTTATCATCCTCGTGACCCTGCAAACACCTGGCGGGAAATACACACAACCTGCTCACAAGTGGAACAGCGAGGCTTCGGCTTCGATGCAGGCCCATATCCTGAGACCTTCATCACGAGGTCTCCTTTTCTACAGGATGTTTTCATTTATACTACTCGTGTCGCAGTGGTCATGAATCATTGTTGCTGATTGAACAATAAGAGTATTTATTATTGGCAGTTAGTTATTTGCAGTGGTACTGTCAGAGGCGTGTAAATAGCACAGCAAATTTTATTTTAATTTTGTCCTGGGATTTTTTTTCTCTGTACGTGCCGTTCCGTTTCAGGGATTACAAGGGACCGTTTTAATGATCGAGGTTTTTTTTTTTTTTGACCTGGACAAAGTGAAATTACTATAACCGCTGGGAAAGGAAGAATTTTAGTTGTTGTTCCAACCCAGCCGGGCATATGAACTACTCAAAAAAAAACGGCTTGTACGATGGTCTGCTGATTTACATATCGCTCGCTTGCCTTCACTGATCAGGAGTGAATATTTCTATGGACGACGGAGCCTGTAGTGGACAATTGCATTAACATGGTACTAATACCTGGATCTTGCAACAAGAGCTGTTTGGAGCCCATCAGAGTATCTGAAAATGCACTTTTATTCAGTCAGAGAAGCGTGATGCATTACTGTGAATTTTGGTTTGTGCATAAATGAAAACTGGAAGCTTATTTGCTCTGTGATCCGAACTTGCTTCTGTGCCTATTGTTACTATACTACTACTGAGTCACGTGACTGTAATATCATTTAATTTATTTTTTAATTTCTCTTCACTATAAATGGTAAGATGCTGATTTGACCCTCTTAAAAAATAAATAATATTGTACTAAACATCTGTTCACAATCTGATTAGGGACAGTCAGGATTTGGTATTATTAAGGGGCTATTTTGAAATAATTTTATATATATATATGAGCAGTATCACCTTTTAACAATGTATTCGCTGAGTTCTACAGTATTTGTGCTGAAGGGAACCTTTCCTGAACGTCTTTTCAGTATGCTTATGCACATGACCTGAAGAAACGCTCTTTGCTAACCAAACGCTTGCCTCGCTTTGTGACGTTAACACACCCAATGTTGGTCTCTCAAATGTGAATTTACGCTTATGGCGACAATTAAAACGCAGTTTTGTAGATCACCGTACCTATTTTTACAAAATTTTTCTACGACATTGAGAATTGTATGAAAGCAGGGGCTTAAATCCATCAAAAGAGCACATTTCGAGGAATGTACTGAGTACGGAAAGGTTATTTGCCTCTAAAGCACAACTGAAATGTTTCGGGAAGATTGTTTCTTAACATGTTAAACTCTTTATGTGGCATCTACTGCACAAACTCCTAAAGCCATAATGATACCGTAGTCAAATATATTTAAGGCTGTTTTGTGGTTTCTATTTATCAGAATTATGACATATTCAAAAATGATTCTTTTTCCTGTTTTCTGTATTCAGTCACAGAAATTAATGTTTTCCTCTTGCTTTGTGAGGAATGACCACCGTTACAGTATTTGACCCTGGGCATTGGTGATCACTCCTTGAGAATTTCTTTCTTTGCACAGAGATATCAAGTGAAAAGGTTGAATTTATTGCCTTGTATTCATCTCAGACAGAAGCTCAGTGAACTGCATTTTATTGTTCAAACCTCATTAAATTAGTGTCCTCCTTGATAGGAAAGCTGTTATGGTTTCGTGAGCGTGACTGTACATGTCGAGGGCTTGAGCGTTCAGCTTGCCATTGCAATAGCTTTAGCTACTACTGTTTGAATGAGAGCGGATTTCACTTGATGTCACAATGCTAATGTTCCCTCATTGTTTCATTTTTTTGAGTTTACTGTATTTCCTCTGCTGAAAGTGGGAATAAAATTTATTTTTGCATAATTATCACATGAGACACTGCTGTTTTTTTCTTTAAAATCATACTACCACTCAAAGGTTTTGAAAGAAATAATTCAGTGAGGGATGCATTAAATTGATCAAAAGGGAAAATACTTTGTTACATAAATTCCTATTTCGAATAAATTCTGTTCTTTTGAACTTCATTCATTGAATAATCTTGGGGAAAAAGTTTGTCACAATCAGTTTCCACATAAATATGAAGCAGCACAATAGTTTAACATTTATAAGACATGTTTCTTGAGCAGCTGAATCAGAATATTAGAATGATTTCTGAAAGATCATGTGACACTGAAGACTGGAGTAATGATGCTGAAAATTACTTTAAAAAATAATAAAATAGAAGTTAAATTGATATTTCACAAAATCACTGTTTTTAGTTTAACTTGTTTTTCAAGAAAAAGGGAAATATCAGCATTTGTTTTGATTTTAACAGATCAAGAAAAGATTAGAAAAAAAAAGGAAAATACAGTACAACTTACGCACACCAAGATAAAGAAAAATACAGTACATGTCACTTATAACACTTAATTTCAATGAATGATCCAGTCTCATGCAAGGAATTAGAATTTCTCATTCCAGTTTTAGTCTAACAAAATTGTGTAATGACAAGGTTCAAGAAGTGTGTTGCTTTACACTATGTAACTGTTTTGCAAATACATCATGAATCCAGCTTTCAAACTGTGTTTTTGTCATATCTTGTATTTGGAACGGGCAGGACAACTGCACAATATCCTGTGTAACAGAGGTAGCTCCGGCTGTAATGTTCTGCAAGATGCACTGGTAACGTTTCCTTTTACAGTACTTACATGTACAGTGTACTTAACAAGAAAGTACTGGCTAATATAAGGTAAGTACATGGGTTAGGGGTAGGTTTAGTATCTAGTTATTACTATAATAAGTACATAGTATGTACATGGGTAACAGGACTGTAAAAGGAAGCGTTACCGATGAACTCAGTTTTATTAAATCACTAGTGCACAAAGTTACATGTGTGCCTTTAGTTATGCAAATTAACCAAGCAGTAAAAATTATTGAAGGACAAATGTACAGTATCTGAAGCATATGAACTTCTAAACACTAATTGCACAATGTTGAAGTAGGAAAGGCTGTACGAAAGCTTTCCTCTTTGAAAAGGCACCAAACAGAAGTCAAGAACTCTTCTTCAGACAGCAATCTCTCCACGACAGCACTGGAGCTGCTACCTGCTCAACATCCTCCGTTGTAACATCCCCATCACACGCCACCTCAAGAACTCCAAGACAGAGTCTGCTGTCCGGAGAAACTGAAAAATAACTTCAGGAGCTCCTCAAGGTTTAGGATTCCAGCAGAGCTTGATGAAGGATGCTCTGCACAAGACAGGCAAGCTGTATGCTTGCACTTACACCAGGAAGAGAAGAGATCAGGAGAAAAGCACGTGTACAAAATAGGAGTTTATTTCCACTGTATGCATTCAAGTTTACATATGTACACTGGCAGTGAATGTGAACTACAGGTACTGAAAATAAAAACTCATTTACAGCAAAGATAAAAGTATTAAAACAAAAAGGTGCAAAATTGTCCAAAAAAGGCAAAAAGAAAAATTCACTTAAGACCAAACAACTGGTCCATCACAGTTTTTTTCAGTTCAATATTTTCAAGAGCATCATTTCAGCTTTCTTCATTTGTGAAATCATCCTTATGTGGCACACAGTGTTGAGATTGATCTGTGTTTAGTTCAACACTGTTCAGGCTTTCATCAGAATCACTCTCATCTCCATGTTCTTCTTGATCCTCGTCATCTTCGGGCTCAAAGGCGATCTCACGCAGCTCCTCTAGATTGTCGGGACTTTTACCGGTTAATCTCTGATTGAAATGTGAAAAAGCAAAAGTTAACATGGGCATTATTTGAACATTGAGGTTACTTTACTCTTTGGTCCCACCATAATGGTGGTTAAATCCTTGCATTCAAATCTTGGCAAGGCTGACACCACTATTAAACGGAGCACTCACTTCAATCATGTCGGCCATGTGTTGTACATGCTGTGCCAGCTCCTGTAACTCATCGTTCTCACTCTTCAGTTGAGCAATCTGTTCATCTTTGGCTTCAATGTCTTTGTGCAACTAGTTTTGAAACAAAATAAACAGGCATCACATTTGAATAAAATCATGATCATACCAGGGGGTTCTTTGACAAACTTCCAGGGAGGCCAAATAGGTCTTAAAATTATAAAAACATTCATCAACCTTTCTACAATTAACTCACCTTTTCATTTTCTTGGAGAACACTGAACAGTGCTTTCCGCCTCTCTTCTGCCACCTCCTTCCAGTAGGAGGACCCAGGAGTTTCTGGGGACAGAGAGGAGAAACATCCAATACAATGGCTGAATCAGAGAGAAGAAAATAAAAAGTCGTTTTATTATTAAATAGTTTTTTTTCTTTTTTTTTTATTACTTAAACTTGTGACATTCCTTCAAGCACCTGTAAGAGCGGTATATGTAATAAGTAAAAGTATGGTACTTTCGATAAAAGGTCTAAGATTTAACAGTTACCGTTAATAGTGGCTACGTTTTCATGCAACCAAATAACCCCTTAGTAATCGGATTGGCGGCTCAATCGGACTGAAAAGCCTTCATGTAAACACTTGATCCGATTGAGCTCGATCCAAATGTAATTGATCGGATTGAAAGGGGTGGCTCATTTTTTTTCTAATCTGATCGAGAGAACATGTAAACACTTGATCGGATTGAAAACCGAAACTGAAAGGAGTGCGCATGTGCATGACTTTGAAATAGAGTAATGACGTATGACGCGCAGAATGAGCCGTTCTGCCTGTTGAATAAAGTGTCATAAATGAGTGTCATGTCATCCTAAAATTCTCCTTCCACTCAGCATTTGTGAAGTGGAGCAGAACAACGTCCCACCAGTCCTTGTTTTGGATTTTCATCCACAGACGACTGGTTTTGGGCACGGGGAGGGGCTTTTTTACAGCGTGATAAATATAAGCAACACGGCACAACGATTCATATGCTCATTTACTCAATTATGACCAGAAATGGCTTAATATTAAGTCTGTCACAAGCTTCAAATCGGAATTAGATTTGACAAACGCGCACATCAACCCGATCACGTTTAGCGTTCATGTAAACTACATTCGGATTCATCAATCGGAACGAATTCAGTCCGAATTAAACAAGTAGTGGATGTAAACATAGCCAGTGTTGTGTCGCAAGCAACTGAGTGAACGAGAGGGTCTCGCTTATAACCCATCCAACGCATCTGCACTGGCTGCATTTGACATGAACCTTCACAACTGTTTGAAGCGGTCTACACTGGACATAAGAGGAAAAACTTGTGCAACATGTCTTCCTGGAGGCATGATGGTGCTTTAGAGTACTAAAATGACCATTGAAATGCCCCGACCAGTTTAATCTTTCAAGGTCTAAATGCAGTGAACTTTGGCTTGCACTACTGCAAGTACAGCTGAATGCCTTATGGCTTTTGTAGCAAGAGCACTGCCATCTTGCAGTACTACAACCTGTGAAGTCAGGGTTGGTTGGCTCCGTTGGATTAACGAAGATCATTATAGTAAGGGTTGGGTATCTTTTTTTTTCTTTTCTCGATACTTTTAAAAAACGGCACCTGTGCCTAAACTGATCCTTTAAAAAAAAAAAAAGCAACAAAAAAAAGCTTCAAAACGATGGTAAATGACATTACAATTTTAATATTTTATTTTAATTTATAAATAGAAGTAGTCTAAATACAAAACAACAAATTGACAAATTCACAATAAAACCTAAGCCACCTAACCCAAATACAATAATTTAACACTAAATAGCACTACAGCACTAATAACAGCAAAGTAGTCTGTATTCGGTATGCTACAAACCAGCTTTAAATTTCTGCAATTCTTTTCACATTTTTTGCCTTCTCTGGCCAAATACGACACCTCTCCTGACTTATTGCATGTCCTGCACAAGGTGAGCGTTATTTTAGAACGCATCACCTTAAATGCTGTGACGCGAAACCCATCGTGGAAGAACGCCGTCATTTACAACTGTGACAATGAGCGCTCATCGGGATCAACTGAAGGCTGGATTTTCAAAAGTATGTGACTATTCTTGCAGTAAACTTGCACAACGTTCTTGAATGAATAATTTATTAGATGCACGCCGGTCTGTTATTGTAGGGACATAGACTTTACATTTTCACACTAAACATGACGCGGAACAAAACGAACAGTGATTGGTTGCGTTACATGTCAGTTAGTAAATAAAAACAGCTAGTAAATATTAGTTACTTGGCTGATATTTTTATTCTTAAATACATGCAAGTGAATGCGTTTTGTCATTTAAGAAACCTTTAAAACGACCATGACTCATGTTAGTTGATCTAACACACAATGGGCGCCATGGGGCGGCAGTGGCTCAGTGGTTCATGTGGGTTGTCTACAAACCAGAAGGTTGGTTCAATCCTCAGTTCCACCTGACCAAGTGTCGAGGTGTCCATGAGCAAGACACCTAACCCCGGCTGCTCCCGACGAGCTGGATGGCGCCTTGCATGGCTGCCGTCGCCCGTCGGTGTATGAATGAGAGAGTGAATGGGTGAATGTGAGGCTATGTAAAGCGCTTTGGTGGCCATAGGTCTGTGAAAGCGCTATATAAATGCAGTCCATTTACCATGTTATACGCACTGCAGTTCAGAGAATTGGATCTGTCAGATTTAGGCCTAAAAGTCGTCAATTCATCCACTTCTCCCGACATACATTAAAGTGGCTGGTGAAGTGTGAGAAGAACAGAGTAAATTTTATAGTTACGTACACGATGTGCATCTAAACATGTTGTCAATTTATAATTTAAAGGATTGTTATTGCCGCTTCCATAGACATCAGTGTGTATTTTACAAACTAAATGTTGTTTTGCTAGAACATGTGTATTTAAATGTCTGAAACCTAAAACAAAGTTTGTGTGGTTGAAAACACTGAATAGTTGTGATGACAGCACTGAGCGCGTCTGTCTCAGGGCCAGTCAACGCGCGAACGCAAATTTGAATTTAGAAGTTGATGATCACGCGATCTGAACAGTCTAATCACACCGGTGTCAGCGATCGTACGTGTCAAAGGGTTAACTAGCGATCACATCCGGTGATGATGCTATGTCCGTTTCATAGAACCAGAGGGCAAATATTTCAACAGAAAGCTGAGGCATTTAAGTGGCACCGAAATGAAGCACCGAAATCTGTCTTATGATTCAGTCCGGTTTCATACCGGTCACTTAGGTACCGGTTCCATATCGGTGCCCGGTTTTGGTACCCAACCCTAATTATAGTTTGTTACATAATAGCAGTCACCAAGTAGTTGACCAATAGAGGGTTTTTGTCCTTTGCTTTAACACTGTAAAACTCATCTTTACATCCAGGAGCAATGCTAGCCTGGATTTCCCCATACTGCCTTTGTGCAGCGCGATTTTATTTAAGCTGCTAGGCAGTCTGGATACCATGGACCAAATTTTCACCTCAGCGAGGGGACCAATCACAGAACGGGGAGGGAGCAGCAAGACGATGACATCTATGCGACACACCGAAGCAGTTTGTTTATACCTATGGATCAAACATGGCAGCAGACGCGAAGTTACCTTTCGATGCAGCCTTAGATATTGTTCCAAGTAGTTTAGAACGCAAATAAATCTGACCCTTCGTCTTCTTCCTCGTCTAATTTCTTTCGCTCTACATACGTCATCTGGTATAATTGAAACGATTGGCTATGAGCTACGTACAGGCGCATTAGATAGACATTCGTAGCACCCAATAAATGGCTCTGGGCATTCGTAAACCACGCCTCAAATACGAGAAAATGAACATGTGGTTCCCTGACCACGTCTCAATGTCAATGAGACGTGGACTGACGTTAGCCAGGCTAGAGCAATGCAGGCCTCTATTGTCTTATGGTGCCCTGTGGCTTTTCAGTTTCCATCTTTCATGGTCTGTCTTTATCTTTCACTATCTGCCCAGCCCCTTCAATCTCTACAGTTGTATCAGTTTAAATCAGGCAAGACAACAAACCCAGTGAAGTCAAATATTGTACTGCAAGATCGAGCTATATCAAGACATCTTTCTACTTAATTTTAACTTGACTAACCACTTCATTTCCACTATAAATGTCAATGAACAATAAACTGGGTTAAGAGAATGCATTAAACCCAAGCAATTGGTCTCTGCACGGCAGCATTAACAGGAATACCTTGGCAAGAATGTAAATAATCCAATCAATGTCTCTGAACCATGTGTGATAACTTACCTTTGATCATGAGCTCATAGGCCTCCTGCGTAACCCCCTCAGGCTGGTTCTCATTTTCTGGACTTGTGGATTTTACAGCAACCTCTGCCTTCACCCTCTTTGAACCTTTAACCTGCTCTGCGCTCCACATCTTCCTTTTAGGAACCGATTTGCCATTCTAAACAGGGTGAGATGAACTTTAACAGTCACACCTTTTCACTCCAACTAAAGTCTTTAAACGTTACAAAGTACAAAATGGCAACAACTGTTAAGTACCTCAATTATACGACCAAGGTTCTTATTTACAGCAGACGGCTGAAGGACCTGGAGCGTCCTCCTTGATCCCACTCCAGATGTTGGCGCTACAAAGAATTTCTGAGAAAAGAATAAAGTTAATGAATTAATCTCAGGTGTCATCAGTATAAAACAAGAACCTGAGGATAAAGGCTCATTTTGGAGAGACGGAAAACTGAGCAACTCTATCCATGCACAGTAACAGGCTCAATTCACCTGCCTCAACAGTCATTATTCTCCTCTTACACTTGTTAAGCTGTCAGTTCAAGACGGAAACAAGCAAGGTATCGGAGCAACTCCACGTATCGGTCGTTCTAACAAGCGTGGGAAAGGGGCAGGCCACACATCAGCTGCATGCCGTAAACACCTCCAATTCCCACGGGCAGCTATTGGACGGCCTGCATTATTATCTAACTGCAACATTCTTTAACCTGTAATTACCGTGGGAACTCACCACAGAAGTCTCCTTATGACCAACTGCAAGTTTGGAGTTGGTTAATGTTTTCACTTAAACAATACAGTGGCAGACAGATGCACAAGTTACTGGATCTCAGCACACTGACAATGATTAATTCAGAGACAGAGCAAGGTCTCTCACGGTTCAGTTTATCCTAACTTGATCGAGTAGTTGAATAGTTGACATCATTCTTTCCTTTTTTACAAAACTGACCTGGCCATTATTAAATAACCCGAACATAAGAATCAGAGGTCACAGACAGTTACATAGCCAAAATAAACACCAACCACTAGCTTTTAAAAATCACCATGAAATTAGCCTACAATTCTTAAGGAACATTCAAGTATTATTATAGAGGACGACTTACCCATGCACATCTCTTTAAAAAAACACATGCCCTTGAACTCTTTAATCAAAATAATGTCCCCTCCCTCTTGTAGTGACATATACATCACAACAGGGAAGAAAATACTATCACATCCATTTCATGCCAACTTTAGGGGCCGTTAATCAACATATGGGGATGTTGCTAGATTCTTTAAAACAACAATTAACTATCACCCAACAGAACAGTGGATCAGCCACCAATTTTACATCTAGTGGTAACTGGATTAAATTCTCAAAGATGTTCTCAAATACCTTGATGTTTTCAGAGGGATTCTCAGCATGTTTGGGTCTTCTGATGGAGCTCATGTTTTCACCTAGAAAACAGTTTAGGAACTCTGTGACAAATTCATCAGTTTAAAAGAAACATGGTGACATGCCCATAATTAAAAAGTAAAACAGAAGTAAATAATGCAAACTAAGTGTACTTAATGACAAATTGTAGGAATATAATAATAATCAACAACAACTCTTTAATTAATTGGTCCAAATGTCAGTGAGCTGAAAATTCACGTCAACCATTTTATATTGTTGACTAAAGTAACGTTATTACTAGTGTAACACTGAACAGTTAAAGTGACAAGACTAGACAACCAAGCGTTTTATTAACGTTACACTAAAACACCGAATTATGGTGTAACATAAATATGGCGTTTGTATTGTCTTAAGGTTATATAGATTAAGAAAAGCTAAAAATCACAAGCCTACATACATCAAAGGAGACGCAGGCCTCAGTCTTTGCCCATACAAACTGAATGAAACCGAGCCACACTAGTACATATAAAACATTTAAACGCACACTGACATTTCTAAAAACCAATGGAAAGCCTCAAATAACTTAAACGACCAAAAGCCAACATAAACCACTCAAACTAAAGAAGAATACTCACGGGAAAAGGACCGATAAGCACGCACTGCTAACAACAACTCACGCGTTCACAACAGCTTGGGTGTGAAGAGCGCGCCACTGGCTTAAGTACTGCCTTTGTATCGTCACGTGATGCCGGAATTTCGCGCGGATAGAGAAACCTCAATGGTAAACAGAAGTCTTTTTTTGCAGTCCATGCTATTCTAGGCAAGGGATATTTAATTTCACTAATTGAATATTATATCATTACTATACATTTCTCAAAATTGAAATGAGCACTATGCACAATTAAATTATGTGTATATGTTAAATCTGTACTAAATTATGGTCGAAATGACAATAAAGCTGTTTTAAAAAAAATAATTCATGTCTGTATCTACATTTAACTAACGTATCTATCCTCCACGTTGACACCCATTTGAATCATTAAATCCATGTTACGTCCCCCGCTTTCACTACAGTAGTTTGTAACAACAGCAATATTTGCACTATTAATGGTAAGTAAAAACTGAGTGGTAACATACAAATAATGGGAGTATTTGAGACATATTGTGCAAAAAAACAAACAAACTGAAATACACTCTCGTGACACGTTTAAAGAAAACGTGTCTCAACACTCCTCGCTACATAAATCCATAGACAGTATAAGAAAGCATAAATCCAGCTGACAGCAGCCCGCGCTCCTCCTCTGTCACATGTGCACAGCTGCGTGACGCGCATCGGCCATTTTGAGTTGTTTGTTTCAGCGAGGACCGCTTGTTATTTTCCAGACAAACGCAGAACAAAGGGCCGAAACAGTCGAAAGAATCGCTCGAAAGACATTTCACCCTTTTCTTCCATCATTATGGGTCCACCGCGATGCAGATCTCGCCGTCTGTTACCTGAGAGAACGGAGGATTTCGGTCGGTTTGTCAGTTTATCTTGACATGGCATATACGGGTGTGTGACGACTGTGGAAAAGCTCGAAAACAAACGGAGACCATCAAGCTAAACCTCAGCCGAGGATTGATTCATCCGGGGCGGGTTTTTGTACTGAGATCGATGTATTAAGACGTGCTAGGATTGTTTGCAGTACTTGCTCGGATCAAAACGGGCTTGAAAGACAACTCGAGAATAAAAAATGGAGAGAAACAATAGTTAGCTAGTTAGCCAGCCACTCATCGAAGCCAGTCTCTGCTAGCATAGCGATAACAAAAAACAGGCAAACACAAAATGTAACAGTCGGTTTATTGATGATAACTAGCTTTGAATGCTCTCGTAGAACTCATAACTTACTGGTTAGAAAAGAAATGTAGCTCCCTTTAACCAGGTTATCAGTCGGTGGCGTGTGTGTATTCAGCTTAGCTAGCATTAGTTTGCTAGCCAGCCACAAAATAAAAGCCTCACAATGAAACTCAACCGTGGCAGGAGAGCTCGTGGGCCCATTTTATGCCCTTAAACCCCAAGATGTCTAGCAAACTCTGTGTTCTTACTCCGTGCCAAGATCTCATGGCGTCTGCATTTCTCTGCCATGGTTGTCTTTCTCACCTGTCATTCAGATGTGCTTTTATGAGACCGTTTATACAAAGACATGGATACAAGCTAGAGTCAATACTGGAAGAGACTTTCCAAAGTCAAATCTCTTGGTCAGCTTTTTAGATAACTTTAAGTAAGGTTTATTAATCTAAAACCAGGGATCTTTCCCTTCACACGGACTCGCACACACAAAAAAAATGGGTTTTCAGTGTAGCAGGCATTTGTGTTTTCTGTCCTTTATTCAGTAATACAACACAGTTTCTCATCTAAAAAAAAATACTAATTGATCAGGTCGTGTTATATGAGTGGTTTCTTTTAGTTTACGTAGCCTTGGCTTGATTGTTTTAAAAAAAAAATGGTGTAACTCATCAACTTAGACAAGTGTAAAATTACTTGGCCCAAGTGCACTACCCGGATTAAAAATGACTTGATTTGATTTCACTAACTTTGTTATTTAATTCAAATTAGTATGTACTGCTGGTAGTGCTTGGTTATAGCTTCTTTAGTTTTTAAAAGGGTTTGAAAACCACATATGCTACAGTCAAGAAAATAAAAAGCGAAAAAGTCTGCGTTAGGAAAATCTTACTGTCCGTAACAATGGGGGACCCAAATTCTCGCCGGAATCAAACTAGAAACCGACTCCGCGCCCAGATACGGAAGAAACGAGAATCTCTGGCCGATCAGTTCGACTTCAAGATCTACATTGCCTTTGTATTTAAGGAAAAGGTACGTTGACTGATTCTGTATGAAACCAAGAAATGATTTGGGAATGGACTGCTATTTTTCTAATATGCCCTTCTACCACTTTTACAGAAAAAGAAGTCTGCACTCTTCGAAGTAGCTGAGGTGGTACCTGTGATGACAAACAACTATGAGGAGAATATCCTTAAAGGCGTGAAGGGAACGAGCTACTCCTTAGAGAGTTCTTTAGAACTTCTCCAGAAAGATGTGGTGCAGTTACACGCTCCTCGTTACCAGTCAATGCGTAGAGTAAGTATTGACTCTCAACATTTTTGAAGATTGTTGCTGTCGGCAGCATTGCGATCGGAATGGTCCGTCTTATCTAAAAATCCATGTGTCATGTCGTTCGAGGTCACTTTCTGTTTCACATCTCACTGATGTTTCTAAATCTGTACAGGATGTGATAGGTTGTACCCAGGAGATGGACTTTATCCTTTGGCCCCGCAATGATATTGAGAAGATTGTCTGTCTCCTGTTCTCCAGATGGAAAGGGGCTGAAGATGAACCATTCAGGCCTGTTCAGGTATAACTCGTTCATTCCTGGCGCTTGCTTCTTATTAATCATACTTGGGGTTACATGCTTGTTCAAACCCTTGACGCCAAGTATTCAACTTTAGCACATGCGCCATTTGCACTATGGACATGAGAGGTACATAAAACCTTAAGTCTTGTTGGGGAAATATTACAAATCCACGTACAAGTTTAATGCTGTAAATGTAAATCAGACTCCATTTAGTTATATTTACTTTCTAACATTCCCATAGGCCAAGTTCGAGTTTCATCACGGAGACTATGAAAAGCAGTTTTTGCATGCTGTTGGTCGGAAGGACAAGGCTGGGATGGTTATGAACAACCCCAGTCAGTCTGTCTTTCTCTTCATGGACAGACAGCACTTACAGGTTGGTTCATTAAAACATGAAGTATAAAGGTATATATTTTTTGTATTATTATTGTTTGTTTGGTTGTACATGCTAATTTTCTCTTTTTACATTTAGATTATCTGTGCCATCAGCTCACATAGTGATTTTAAAGATTATTAAAGACAAGTAAACACAAAAAGAACAAATAAACAAATTGGCTATCACACAAATAAATACAACTGTACAAAGTTGCGATTGATGGTGTTTTAAGATTTTCAGGTACAGAAACTGTAATCAAATGTAAAATAACACTGCATTTTATCAATAAAATATGTATTATATAGGCAAAGGTTATTCAGTCAAGAACAGCGAGTGAATTTTCTCTTTCTTTTGTTATTTGGTTAACATTATTATAGAGACGACAGAAGCAGGTAACTTGAGCTGCATGGATCAATATAATGTCATACGTTTTCTTTGTCAACTGTTTACATTCACATAAGACATAACCAACGCGTTTACGAGGATATTTGACCGTTTGAGTGCAAAAATATAAGAACTCCTTTCATTATCGCGCAATATTCAGTTTGGGAGGTGGCTTTCTGTGCGCACTTTTTGGATGCGTCGTGTAGCATAGAAAACAACGCATGGGTCTTCTTTCGCTTGAATGATTTAAATTAAGTAACTAAACACCACTCAAAGGAATCAATAAGAGGAATAAAATTTTCAATTTAAGAAGTATCTGATTCCTGACCTTAAGCGTTTAATTCCAGATTGGAATCGATTTTCTATTCCCAACCCTATTTATAGACAAAAAAATATTAAGTAATTTCTTGGTCATCGTTGTTGGTCAGAGTTTTGATATCAGTGAATTCCTCATAATTACACAACTTTATAATACCCTAATGTTTACTGTATAATATTTAATAACCTACTTTAATTTTAGTAAGTCATTTTTTGTTATTGCCAATAACCAATAAATAACTGATTGACTTGTCAGTATTGGCTAGAATTTTAATACAAGTTAATCCCTAATAATTATACACCTTATTAGTGGTCCACCGATATAGTTTTTTTTATGGCCGATGCCGATATCTTAGAGAGCTGGGTGGCCGATATAAAGCCTATATATATATATATATATATATATATATATATATATATACACATATATACTTTTATATATATTTTTTATCAATATTTAATAAATTATATATAAATTAGAAAACAAATCTTTAAAATAAACATGCTATTAGGTCGACCACTACACCCTATAGCAACCTATTATTTACTATATTTAAAAGTGTAATTTATTGTCTTGTCAGTATTAGCCAGAATTTTAGTGAATCCCATCTTATATCCTAATATTTACTGCAATAATACAGTATTTATTAATAACCTTCTTTTTTTTTCCTTCACAGACTCCAAAAGCCAAGCTTACAGTTTTCAAGTTGTGCAGCCTCTGTCTCTACCTGCCACAGGATCAGCTTACCTGTTGGGGGGTTGGAGACATCGAGGACCACCTCCGCCCATACATGCCTGACTAGGAGAAGCGCACGGAAGACGCCCCTCAAGGCCTCGAAGCAAGTTGTCCATATCTACTCATCCCTCAGTTGAATAGAATTGAACTTGTGCTTGGAACTCTCCTTTTTGTTAACCACTCATTTTCATCTTGAGATTAATTTAGCTCTTCTTTTTTTTATCCCTCCCTCGACCAATCTTGGTTTGGCTCATCCCATCTCCCCTCTCTTTGATTTTTATTTGAACCTGCATGAACATTGATTTTGAGTGGTTCTCTTGGAGCTGCACCGTCAACAATACCAGTCACCGAAGGAACTCTTTATGTTAAGGCAACAAAACAAAAAATAAAAAACGAGAGCGAGAAAAAAGGAAACCAATGACAGATGTCTCTCACATGTGATCTAGTGTTGGACTGGCTAAACATCAGTGTCATGAGGGATAGTTAACATGTCTGTTATATTGAGTAGGGATTTCCTGAGTAATGACAATCAGTGACAGAGGACAGAAGAGCCTGGGTAGTCTTCCTCAAAAGGCTTCTATTACAAGGTGTACAATACTTAACTCATTTGGTGTAGGCATTGCTTCTCATTCAGTTACTGCCTTAGTTTTTGCTGGACATTTTAATTTGAGTGTCATTCCTTGCCTATAATATGACAAACCTTGTTTGTTTTTATAATTTCTGGAGTAATGGTGCCTGATGATGGCGGAGGTGCGGTGTGATGTATATCTAGGATGGTTGACAAACTGTCAGGTGGGGGAATTCTGAAGCTGTTCTTTACTTGGGGTGGTAATAGTCACCAATTGAGCAATTCCTGCACTATACATACAAGCTACTGATACCAGATGTAATCATTGGTGGTGGAAATGTGATGGGAGACTAATGTTCAAGCTTGTACCTAATGAGAAATTTCATGGAGAAACTTGAAATGGATCATTATGGATTTGTTTTTCTTTTCTAGACCACCCGGTTCTGAGAGTACTAAATATTGCAGTGCTTGGGACTTGGTATCTGTAAGCCATCCTTGTCTGTTCGTATGGCATAAAATCATTACTTTTTCTCCCCTTTTGAAATTCTAAGTTCACATTGAAGGGGAAGGTGGGTCTTTGTCTTTATTTTGATGTACCCATTGTTTGAATAATTCTGTTGAAATAAACACTGTTGAACATATCTTAACCACAGTGCAAAATACTTTTATGCTGGACTTTTTATTATATACCATAAAGAACTACATAATTTACAGGGCACATAATCAGCTACCAAGGTGTTTAGTGTGTCTACCCTGAGCAATGAGTTTTCCGTTCGCCTTGTTGGTGAGATCCACGGTTGCAAATGCCAAAGTCCTTCCTTGTTTTAAAACCTGCGCAGTGATCAGGATGTCTTCTCCAATTTTAGCTGCATTCATGTATCTGTTATTTAGAAAGGAAACAAATAAGTGTTAGATGATGAATGGAAGTAATTTAATTTTTAATGGAGACAGGGACTACTTTTTATCCTATTTTCTATTATTTCACTTTTATTCCAAGTTAATACCTTTTAAAGCCTCAGCTACACCATTATTAGCAAGGGAATAAAATACATGTTGACCTTTGTGACAATCTGACAAAATGTCACATTTGGAACTTACCATTTAACAACATCATAAGAATTTTCAAAACCAATTATTGTTATAAATTAATTGTAGAAATGAAAAATACCCATATTCAGACCAAATAGACCAACTTTTCAGCTAAAATCTACATTTGAATGACATAGTTTGCCATTGTGGTTTTATTGTTTTCACGTTATCCAACAGTTGTTACAAAATATTAAATAATATTGAAATTATAGTTTGGGAAACATAATTTTAAAAAAAAATCTAATTTAAAGACTGTTTTGAGCTAGATATAAAAACCCAACATTCAAACCACTTCATTTATGTAACTAGACTATAACAACATGCTGTTATTATATTTAGAATTGGTAATATTTTAGTTTAGGGTCCAATTCTCACTATTAACTAGTTGCTTAATAGTATGCATAACATGTCTGTTTATTAGTACTTATAAAGCACGTCAATGCCTATTCTGCATGACCATATTCTACATCGCTTAAAAGGGAAGTTCACACAAAAATGACAATTCTGTCATAATAATAATACTATGGAAATCAATGGGGCCCATCAACTGTTTGTTGACTGACCTCATTCAAAATATATTTTGTGTTCAGCAGAAGAAAGAAATTCATACATGATTGGAACAACTTGAGAGTGAGTAGCCTAAATGATGACCATTTTCATTTTTGGGTGAACTAACGTTATACCTTGGCTTTAATCCTACCCAATACCTAAACTTAACTACTTTACTAACTATTAATAAGCAGTAGGTATAGGTTTACTGAGGCAAAAGTCATAGTCAATAGTGAGAATTGGAACCATTATCTAAAGTGACCTTAGAATTATCTTTTTTATACTCCATTTTTTAATTTGTAGCTTTATTTAATTTGCCGAAAACAATTCGTTTTAGTTAACCATATCTCAGGTTTCAGCATAGCTTACATATAGCCCTCGCTGAAGGTATTCCCTATACATGACACCGTAACAAATACTTTAATGATCATGTACATAGTGACACAAACTACCCAAGAGCTCACGTTATGTTCATGTCCACGCTGACTCCAGGAGCTCCTCTCTCAGTGTACATGATGGCAGTAGTAGAGATCACATCCACCAGTGTGGCTGTCAGTCCTCCGTGAAGAGTGCCTCCTCTGTTAGTGTGTTCCTCCTCCACCTTCATCTCACACACCACTTTCCCAGGGGTTGCAGACAGTATTTCAACCTGGTCACAATATGAACTGCTCATTATGTTGTTTACTGCAGTGTGAACTGATCAGAGTGGTTTGCATATCAATGTGTGGTTTGTCGAGGAGAATCGCTGAATTTAACAAAGACACTAACTTACCTTACTTAAAACCCGATCAAATCCAGGACAATCCACCATCACTCTCATGATCTCTTTTAGTGATTTTAGCGACAACGAAACCATTGCTGCTAATGCAAATACCAAAACACAGTAAAGGACAAGTTCACTCTGGTGGAATATTTGAAAGGTTGCCTACATGTTATACAAAATAAGAGTTCTAATACTTTAAGAGGTTAAGGCATTTTGGAGTCCTCCACTAACGAGAAGAAATGAACATTTTCACTACACTGTTCTAAATAGGTAAACAAAAAGTAAAGATTTAATCAACCAAAAATAGTTTTAGAAGCTAAGACATACCAGAGCCCGTCTAACTATTAGACATTCTCTGGACATACCGTTCGGCTGTGAGGACTTTTATTATGAAATAATGGATCGGGTCTTTTCAATGAAAAGGGCTCATGCCCCTGCCCCTTTTGTCTCAATGTATTGTGCCCTTTTCTGATAATTGTAAATAATAATAATAATAATAAATATTATAAATATTATAATAAATAACAATACACTTACACACCCTTGCCACTAACAATAATAATACAAACAAATATTATATAAAAAAAAATGTTTGGCGGAGAAGTGATAGGCGGAGTTTCCTTTGCAGGCTTGCAGCGCCTCATACGCATTTAACGGTGCTGGGGACTGGTACGCACTACGCAGCAGTTCAAACGAGCAGCAGGTAACGTTGAAGTTAATACAGAAAATTACATTTATCCTACCATCAACATGCTACTCTAAAAGTTGCGGCAGCATGCGAGTTATTCTTAACTATAATAAAAGTATAATCGATTTTAGACGCAGTCGAGTGACAAACTGTCATTCGTTTTTATCCAAGGAATAAAAGTGCAAGGGAAAGTATGCTACATTTAGTTAAATTAAATCTTAAGTCCATGTCCAACTCTAAATTGGAACTTATCTTTGATTTCACAGTAACGCTTTACAATAAGGTTCATTTGTTCATTACTCATGTATGAACTAACATGAACTAACCATGAGCAACACATTTGTCACAGTCAGTGCATTAACTAATGATAACAAATAAATTAATATTAACTAAAATTAATAAATGCTGTAGAAGTGCAGTTCATTATTAGCTAATGTTAACAAATTTAACTAATGAAACCTTATTGTAAAGTGTTACTGATTCATGACACTGTCTTTCATACATATAATACATAACTTACATTCAATTTACAACATCAATAAAACTAAAAATTAATTGTCCATTATTACCTTCTTGATTCTCACTGTTTTGTTTGGTAAAGTAAATAATATTTAGTAATATTATCATAATTTCCCTATTTTCATTTGATGTGTTATGCATTCTAATAATTGTATCAACATATTTTCTTAGATGCCAATGAAAGAAAGAAGAAAAAAAATCAAGGAACATTAAGTAATTAATAAAACCACAACAGACAGACGGGTACTGCTTTATACAGGTGATTTATTTAATAAATAATTACATTTAAATTATGTAAAAACAATACAATTAATTGATATTTGAAGTAGGGATGCACGATGATATCGGGACAACATCGGTATCGGCCGATAAAAGCTTAAAATGACCATCATCGGCATCAGCCGATATGAATATTTCTGCCGATGAGTCTTGCCGATAGGGTGGCGTGTTTCCTATGCGCACGTGACGACCGTGAACGAAGCATGAGCGCCAGCAACTTAAAACTTCCAACTAGGGGTGTGCCGTGCGTCTCACGGTTTTTGATCGTGGACGATTAAAATGTCTCCACGATCTGCTTTTGAAGAAAAATCATAGTATCGTGCATTCTATCAGTTCAATTCTGGCGCCTTCAGTTCATCTCAACATACTGTACAACGCGACGTACATTCACATCACATCACATGTAAACGCAGAGGTAGAGTTACACTCACGGGACACTGCAATTCACAAAAGTTCATTGTTTGCATGTGCGTCAAAGTCTTGCTAGGTAAACATGTCATTCACGTGCTGATGCGCTGTTCTAACATCCGCTTTTCTGAGCGCGTTACACCCGACGCTCACAGGAACTAAAGCTGTCACAGCGCCTGCATACTGGACTAATCTTTCGAGTCTTATTGCGCTGATACTGTCAAATACACACAAGGTTTACATAAACAAAGTTGGTTATGTCTAAAGTGAAAGCAAACAGAGAAAATCTGCTTGTCAAATGCGTGTATATTAGACGCGTCGCGTTACTCGCGTGCAGTTCTTAAAGAGACAGTAATAATATTCTGCCGCTTGTCTTTAAAGAGATACTACTGCACCCAGAAATAAAAATTCTGTCTATCTAATGTTGTTTCAAACCTGGATTCATTTCTTTCTTCTGCTTAAATATACTATGGAAGTCACTGGAGTATAGCAACTGTTTGGTTAGCCACATTCTTCCAAATAACTTTTATAATTTCAACAGAAGAAAGAAACTTGAGAGAGTAAATGATGACAATTTAAATTTTTGGGAGAACTATCCCGTTAATGTTAATAAAACAACAAAACACAGAGGAAATCACTCACTGCTCTTGACTGAGAACATTAATAGAAGCTTTAATAAGCTTTTTTTGCACTTAAAAAAAAATACAAATATATCGATATCGGTATCGGCATCGGGCAAAATTAGTTTGAAAATATCGGCATATTGAATATCGGCCAAAATCCTATATCGTGCATCCCTAATTTGAAGTAATAATTTGTTTTTTTAGTGCCCTTTTTGGTCCCTCCGCCCCTGCCCCTGAGGAGGTCTGTGCACGCCACTGCATTTGATCAATATATTATCCGTACATGGAAAGTTAAGAGAATTGCTTAATCGTTTTTGAAACAACTGTTCGAAATAACAACCGCAGTTAAATTCTTCCGGAAACCATCTTTAAACAATGCAAATTCTTCGGTTAAAAAGATGCAACGTTTACTGTGAAAATGAAGTTTATAGTACTTTGAGGTCGTGATAATAGTGACGTGTATAAAGTAGTTCCAGCGACCAAAAGCACATCGATATATTTTCCGTATTCTCCGGGATCCACCCGGAATGTTTTTGTAGTTGTACTACACCATCATATCCCGCCGTTATATTCAACTACGAACATGTCCAGCACTGTAATGTCAGGTAACCACAAGGATCAACCAATGTCTGCTTTAGAGGAAACAGGACGAGTCTTTGCGATCAGTTTGCCTCTGTCTCTGGATCGGATAGTGCACGTGTTATCTAGCAGAAAATGAATGGGACATGGAGGTATGTCTATATTACTGCACCTTATAAACTCACTTTATGGGTAAAGTTTCCCATTAAGCCATTAGATTGAGTATAGCATGTGTAATTAACGAGGTTCTTGTTTATTTATTTGTGTGTCCCTGCCAGAGAGCCTTGAACTCTTTCTTTGAAGCTCATATGGATTCAGTCTTTGATGTTGAAGACGCAGAAGAAACTAAATATGTGCCTGGGAATAAGAGAAAGGGGGTGAATTCTTCTGACACTGCTGATACTTCTGGAACAAAGAAGAAATTTAAGACGGATAAGGTGGATTGGTAATGGTCACTAAGATACTATTAATTAGAAAACTTAATTTACTCTGGAAATAGTTTAATTAAAAGTATAAAGTCACCATGAAATAATTTTTTTGCAGTATTTATTATCTGTTATCTATCTGTGCACATTATTATTATTATTTTTAATGTTTGCCTATGTAACTTTTAATCAAAATAACCTCCCCTCCCTCTTGCACAACGTGTTTACTGTTGCAAGGGTGGGATCAACCTGTCACTCACATGACATCACAGCAGTAGCAAACCATAACCATCAAACGATCCAATCAATTCCTGAATTTCCAGATGGATAAAATTAAGTCCCGCCCTACATTTTTTCTTTTTCCATGGAAGAAAAGACTATCGCAATTTGTTTAATGCTGACTTTGTTTCTTTCTTCTTGTTTTTTTTTTCCAAATTTTTTTTTTTTTTTTTTTGCAGCATTGACTTGACAGCAGAGGAACCCACTTGCTCCAGCAGTGTGAATTTGAAGAAAAGTCCATCTGAAAGTGATGTAACCAAATCTGATGCTGAGGACAGCAAGCTCTCCATCATCAGCTGGAATGTGGATGGTTTGGACACATTAAGTCTTAGAGAGCATGCCCGGGGTTATTATTGGATTATTATTGTATGTTTTGGATTATTATTGTATGTTTGGTTGTACATTCTAATTTCCTCTTTTACATTTAGATTATCTGTGCCATCAGCTAACATAGTGATTTTAAAGATTAAGATTATTAAAGACAAGTAAACACAAAAAGAACAGATAAAAAATTAGCCCGTTTTTTGTCCGTTTACATTTAGCTGACGATTTTATCCAAAGCGACTTATAATTGCTATATATATGTCAGAGGTTGCATGCATGCCTCTGGAGCAACTAGGGGTTTAGTGTCTTGCTCAGGGACACATTGGTGTCTCACAGTGGATTTGAACCCGGGTCTCTCACACCAAAGACATGTGTCTTATCCATTGCGCCATCACCACCCTGTTTGAGTGCAGTACATTTTTTCATGATTGTTTACACACATTTTCTGAAAGAATGCCTCATATTCTCAGAACTCCACACACAAATCAAAAAAAGACACACAATGGGCAAAACCCCTCAATTCTCCTGCAAAATGAAACTTTACATTCAAAACAATGTTATTTCTTCTCAAAATGGTATTTTGTTTTCAAATGACACACACAAACCATCATATGAATAGACATTTATAAGAACCAGTTGAACACTGATGTGCTCAATGTAAAACACTATGATGAATGTAAAACACTTCTTCTCCATTCATCATAATGACTTAGGCCTTTTTTTGGTTCAGTGTTACACTTACTACAGACAGTACATACATAAGTGTGTTGTAAAATATTTGAGAATATTGTTTTTATATTTTATACACACAAATACACGGTAACAAATATATTTTATTTTTCCCACAAAAACAATGTACACAGTGTACATCTTATTCCCAACCAACACAAAGTTGCACATACACTACATACAAAACAACAGAAGAATTTACTGTACACAGTTACAGTAAAAAAAAAAATGTTTCCAATGTTGGCATCCATTGCTCCATTAAAGAGCTCACCTGTTGCCCTTTTATGCTAAAGCTCTGATTGCTAATTGTAAAACTGTGTGATGGGTGTTTGCCCTTGTGATGAGTCAGTGTGCATATTTGAATGGCAGTGTGTTTCTTGTGAAAACAAGATATTTTCTGCATGAAAATTGTGCCAAAAGCAGAGAATTGTGTGTAGTGTTTTGAAAAAAGTGTGTTTTAGAACTGCAATTTGAGTGTAAAACAGGAATTGTGCTTGTAGTTTAGAAGAATTGGTTCAGGGGGTTGGTGCATGAGTTACATGTTGTGGTCATTGTGAATTTGTGTGTAAACAATTGAGAAAAACTGTAAAATCCACTCAAAGGAATCGGCAAGGGGAATCAAATTTTATAACAAGTATCTGATTCCTGACCTTAAGCATCCAATTCCAGATTGGAATCGATTTTCGATTCCCAACCCTATTTATAGACAAAAATATAAAGTAATTTCTTGGTCATCGTTGTTGGTCAGAGTTTTAATATCAGTGAATTCCTCATAACTTATTATAATAGCCTAATGCTTACTGTATAATATTTAACCCTCTACTGCATGGTGTTGCCATATGGCAACATACTCTTTGTGTTCATTTCATTGCCAATGTTTCTTTAAGAAAACATTCTCGTATTTTTTGTTGGAATGAGAAGACCTTAGTTTAGCCAATGATGTGCTTTGGTTCCCTTTCGAACGGTCACTTCGTATTGCGTAGCTATATGCAGTGGGGGGGTGGGGGTGGGGGACTCCTTTTCCTCGATTTACTGAAGCCTTTATGTAAAGCGCATTTGCAGCTGCACCGCAGAACATGAGCGTCTGGCTCGCTCATAGGCTGCGCTGCGGCAACTGCATATCCAATGGCGCGGGCACAGGGGACGACTGATGTAATTGTCCTCTTAACCATCAGGAATCAACGAGAAGAAGAAAGGTCCACACGTGACAATGTTTATTTTAGTACATCACCACCAATAACACTACAAAAAGAATCGTGTAAAATCCAGTAAACCCTGAGATTATTATTGTGACATTAGAACAAAATATGTGGATATAAAAACGTATGTAGGATGTAGGCTATACAACTCAATTAACGATCTTTTAAATATTTTATTATTTCACTAAACATTTAATTAAGTTTAATGGACATTTTATAAAACATGGAACTTTATTTTTATTAAAATGGCTTATGTTTGCTATAGGCTCATTTTGTAAATGTAAGAAACTAATTTAAGACGCACAAACTGGGTGCCGATGCGGTGAGACATACATGCTCGGCCAGATTCGGCTCGAAGTCGTTCATCTTTGGATGCGCCGTCGCGCGCGATGTTACAAAAAGTGCCGTGCACACCACCAGGCGAAATGGGGTCTTGCGCACCCAACGCGCACGACCGCCCACACCGCAATTACGTCATTTTTGCCGCGCGCACCTTCGCGCTCGTGCGGACGCGTCGAGTATAAACAAGGCTTGAGGCCTTTCGGGACCTGCGAAGCGCCACGGACTTGGCCTTGAGAGCTACCAAGGCCACAGCACAGGCTATCGGGAGGAATATGGCGAGTTTGGTCATGCTCGAGCGCCACCTCTGGCTTACCCTCACTGACATTAAGGACGCGGAGAGAACGAGGTTCCTCGACGCCCCAGTATCCAGTACCGGCCTCTTCGGCCCGGCGGTGAAGGGGTTCTCGGAGAGATACACTGAGGCACAGAAAGCGTCCCAGGCCATGCGTCACTTCTTGCCTAAACGCTCTAGCTCGGCGTTGAGTGCTCACAAGCTAGCCCCGTCGACGCCTCGGCCAACAAAGCCCGCGAAACAGGCCTCTCAGCCCCGCCCTGCGGCTGATGCCCAGCGGCAGCCGAGAGCAACCAAGCACTTCCCGCTTCCCCGACGCCAAGGCCCGAGACCAAGCGCCGCGCCCCACTCAGCGCCGCCAAAGTCGTCCTAGCTCGCAGAGGAAAGAGAGAGGGCACGGGTCCCACACTAGCCGGACCACCCTCGAAGAAGCCAAGAAAACTTCCCACAGCCCCCTGTTCAGTTCAGGCGGCTGGGGATTTTATTACTGCAAACAGGCCCGCAACAGTAAGCGCGTTCTTGCAAACAAACGCCGTTTTCACGGCGACCCAAATAAAGCACAAAAAGAGCATGTTTCACAAACACAACACATGGGTTCACGGTCCCCCTTCATCAGGCGGCCCCTCCCCCGTTGTAATACTGACTTCCCCACACGCGAACGCTTGTATAGTCAGTCCAATACTCAATGTTTGCAAAAATCACAATATAAGGGTATCAGGTCCCCCTGCATTAGGCGACCAGCCCCAATCTGTGTGTCAAGCCCTAGCCACACGGGTTCTAGCCTGGCAAGCTATCCCCGGTGTGTCGAGTTGGGTCATAAACACTATAAAACGAGGTTACTCGCTCCAATTCGCTCGCAGACCCCCAAAATTTCAGGCGGGTCTTGAGACTTCGGTGAGAAGCAACGTGGGTCACGTGCTTCGCACCGAAGTACAGAATCTTTTAGCAAAAGGGGCGATAGAATTAGTCCCCCCCGCGCTAAAACATATGGGTTTTTACAGCCGCTATTTTCTGATTCCGAAAAAAGACGGCGGTCTCAGACCCATTCTAGATTTGAGACATTTGAACAAAGCTCTCATGAGGCGGCCGTTCAAAATGTTAACTATCAAACATATCCTCGCGCAAGTGCGCCCGGGGGATTGGTTTGTCACAATGGATCTGAAAGATGCTTACTTTCACATTCAAATAAATCCTCGTCACAGGCCATTCTTGAGATTCGCCTTCGAGGGCCAGGCTCATCAATACACCGTTCTGCCGTTCGGTCTATCTTTGGCACCCCGCACATTCACGAAGTGTGTGGATGCAGCGCTTTCTCCTCTGAGACATCAGGGAGTGCGCGTGTTGAATTATCTCGACGACTGGCTGGTGCTGGCACAGTCGAGAATCGAGCTATTAGCTCACAGGGATTTGATTCTCGGCCATCTAAAATGCCTGGGTTTCACAATCAATGTTTCAAAAAGCAAACTAACCCCCAGCCAGAGCGTGATCTTTCTGGGCACAGTTTTAGACTCGAGAGCTATGACAGCGCGACTCACACCAGAGCGCGCACTCTCAGTGCGAGCGCTTGCAGGCACTTTCAGCGCGCCACTGAAGAAATTTCAGAAACTGCTTGGTCTCATGACAGAAGCATCGCCAGTACTCCGCTTGGGATTAATGCGCATGCGCCCGCTGCAGCATTGGCTGAAACGCCGTGTGCCAACTCACGCATGGCAGTCAGGCAACTTGCGCGTTATGGTGAATCACGGTTGTTTAAGAACGCTGATTCCCTGGCGGGCTCAGAACTGGTACCACAAGGGGGTGACAACGGGAACAATTTCCAGGAGGAAAGTGGTTCTTACAGATGCGTCCAACCTGGGTTGGGAAGCGCTGCACGAGGGCATGCCTGCATCCGGCCTCTGGTCGAGCACGGAGCAGAGCTTACATATCAACTGTCTGGAGATGAAAGCAGTTGGGTTGGCCCTGAAGGCATTTCTGTCAAACCTCAGAGGTCACCATGTTTTAGTCCGCACAGACAATATGTCAGTGGTGGCCTACATAAATCGCCAGAGGGGCATCAGGTCAGGAAACCTGCATGCGATGGCGAGAGACCTCCTCTTATGGGCACAAACCAACCTGAGCTCTCTGAGGGCAGCGCATATCCCAGGCGTCCAGAATGTGGGCGCGGATATGCTCTCACGGGGCAACACTCCCCTCGGCGAGTGGTCCCTGAACCCACAGATGGTCAGTCTGATATGGAAGGTGTTTGGAGAGGCCGAAATAGACCTTTTCGCCTCGAGAATCAACACCCACTGCAAATTGTTCTTCTCGAAGAACAGGGACGCGCTGGCCCATGTCTGGCCCAACCGTCCCCTTTATGCCTTTCCCCCCGTTTCAATGATTCCACAAGTCATCAAACGGGTCAGAGAGAGCAGGTGCCCAGTCCTTCTGGTGGCCCCTCTCTGGAAAACCAGACCGTGGTTCCCGGAACTGTTTCAGTTATCGGACACAATCCCATGGCCTGTCCCACTGAGGAAAGACCTCCTCACACAGGCGAATGGGACACTGTGGCATCCGAGACCCGATTTATGG